AGGCGGGCAGATCACCTGAGGTTGGGAGTTTGAGATCACCCTGACCAATTAAGAGAAACCCCGTCTCTACTAAAAGTGCAAAATTAGCCAGGTGTGGGTGGTGCGCACCTGTAATCCCAGCTACTCGGGAGGCTGAGGCAGGAGAATCACTTGAATCTGGGAGGTGGAGGTTGCGGTGAGCCGAGACCGCACCATTGCTCTCCAGCCTGGGCAAAAAGAGCAAAACTCCATCTCAAAAAAACGGAAAAAAAAAAAAAGAGAGAGAGACAGAAGACACTGTCTGTCCAACTCTTCCCTCAAGACCATTCCTCACTCAAACCCCTTCCACCCTCACCTGGCCATCTCTGACAAGATTCTCAATCTTGGCCCACACCTCCCACTGACACCTCTCAGGTCATGAAGCTACCAGTTACTCCAGCTTCTGGTCAAATCCACCCCTACCAGGATGATCATTACAGCCAAGATCATCAGAACATGTACTGCATGCTGGACACCGTTCTCCGCTCCATACGGAGGAGGACCTGACTTTGATAAATGGTCACGATGGCCCTCTGGGATACATACTGTCCCATTTTACAGATAAGAAAACTGAGGTTTCTCAAGATTAAGTAACCTCCCACGATTGTGCAACCAGAGCTCCTGCTCTGTGCCATCGGGCCATGCATGGCTCACCTTCTTCTGGGCTTTGGACCAGATCCCTGAATACATATGTGACTCTGTCATCTATCAGTTGTGTGACATCAGACAAAGCACTTCATCTCTCTAAAACTTCACTTCTTCCTCTCCAACAGGGGATCATAACAACACCTGCCTGAATGAAAATGCCCACCCCAGGGAAAAAGATACACACAGACACACACACACACACACACACACACACACACCCCGACCTGGCCTCTCTAAATAGGTAGTGGGTTAACCTTCAGAAACAAAAGCAGACAAAAACCTCTTGTGATACCTGTTGCTGTGTACAGCCAGCCAGCATATAGATTTTGTTTTCTTCCCTCTGAAGGAAGAGACTTAAAAGAAGAAAATGTAGGAAAGGACCTGGTTGGATAACAGAGCACCCAGGAACAGCAGTGAAAACCGGACAGAACTCTCTGATCTTGTTTCTAGCCCAACCGCATCTGGCCCCAGGAGCAACCAAAGTGGAGACTGCCTAAGCAATTACCAAATTTTATCAGTTCCACCCCAGCTCCAGGCTCTCCAAAAAACCATTGACAAGTCAAAGCCAAGAATTTAGCAGCTTCTCAACTCTTCCCCACACACCTGGAGGTAGACCTTTATCCCAGGGAACAAAGTCTTCATCCTGTTAGAAATCTCTGAAAGGAACATGTAAACAAAGGTTGCAGAGATAAGGAAGCCTGCCATGAAGGAGTCAGTTTGGAATCTCCAGCCCAGAAATTGGGAGAAATGTTTCTATTCACTCCTTCCTGACCTAAGACCATTTCGGGAGTCCCTAAACAAAGGCTGGTCATCTCTTTTGCCTCCATCTTTGGCAAACCTATTTCAACGATCACTGAGGCACTTTCAGACCAATTTCTTTCCATTCAGAGAGAGCCCAGACCATCCTCGGGAGGAAGACACCCAGAGGGAAGGCTTCCAGGGCCCAGTGCCTCAGCAGTCCCCACCCCACTCCCCACCACCACACTGGTGGCTTGATGAAGATGAAGATGAGGCTGTCTTATTTATCACCTTTACTAAGACAGGTACCTGAGACAAAGTAAGTGTTCAATAAATTTTGTTAAACGATGGAACGTGCAGCATCCTTCCCCCAAAAAGAACTGCATGGAGTCACCTCTACTCAATAAAATGCCCAACCAGCGACTGAAGTTTCTTTGCCCCTGTGAAAATAGGAAAGGCCCTTTTTCAGGCACCTTAGCCGATGGCCCATACTAGGGAAAAGGAGACCCATCAAAGGCAGTGAAAAGGGCTCAGTGTTGTATCCTGTAGCTGAGCTGATGGCTCCAGCACCTACAATGTTGACTTGTGAGCAACCTGTAGCTCTGTAACTGTCACAGCTAGTTGAGAGTTAGCTGTGAGGCTGGAACCCTGCTGAAGGCTTCACATGCCCATGTCATTTGACTGTCTCGCTTTAGAGGCTCAAACAATAATTCCCATTTCATGGATGAAGAACCCAGGATGTAGAGAAGCTGTTCAAACTTTCCTAAGGTTGCTCATCTAGAAAGCTATGGAGGCAACGTCCCTACCCTGTTCTGCCTGGCTCCTATGCCCAGGCTCTTACACTGTCTTGGAAGCAATGGCCAGCCCCAGAGAAAATAGCAAGTAGGTAGAAACAGCACATCCTTGGCCTCTGGCAGCTGTCTCCAGGGTCCCACCAAACCCACAGAGGCTTCATCTTGCTCCTTCCAGCATGAGGGCATCATCCCCTCACCAGTCTCTCTCCCGCCCACCCTGTACACAGCACACATCTCATGCCCAGGGTCTCCGCTTTACAATGGTGTGCCCAGCAAGAAACTATACCTACAGATTTGTGCCTCTCTCCACAGGAAAGCAGAGAACAGGAAAGAGTTCTCTTCCTAAATGCAGGACATAGTAGTACCCAACACACAACAGGCACTTTAAA